AAAGTGCACTATTCTGCTGCGTCATACACTCCGGCGAGCGACGCGAGTGTCGGTTTGGGTATGCAAGAGATACGCATCGGAACAGGTTGTTGCCTATCAAAAAGTCACCCACACCCGCACCCCGCTTCGATCTCCTGTATCGTCCGCGCGGACGCCACACTTCACAAAACTAGACATTATCCATTTATTATCATTTACGTATTTCTATATAGTTATATGTACAACATTGTTATATTTATATTTATTATTGTATTATTATTACTATTTCTATTACTCTCGTAGGTTTGCTATCTCTTTAGGTTTACTTATTTTTCGGTTTGATTATCATTGTCAGTGACTCACTCGCCCGGGCCTGCTGAAAATCAGTGCCACGACGCGGTAAACAAACCGGTTGTGGCTAAAGCTGAGCAAGTCCCGTTTGCACTAGTCGCGACACGCATGACGATGAATTACCTGCATATTTTGTACTATTATTGTTCCTCAATGTCCTTTTGTTTTTATTATTATTTTTGTTTTTTGTTTATATGCGTGTTTGTGATTGTGCAATAAATGGCTTTCTATTTCTATTTCTATTTCTATGAAAACTCGAACAAACGTTGTTTCGGAAACAAAAATTCCAGTGTGTAATAGGCATCGAGTATATAACCAGAAATAGAGACGAAATAAGGGCCATATATTCCTGGTAACACATTAGCGATACAGCTCTTATAAATATCAACATAAACAGGCCAACTACTGACCTGTGCGTACGTCTCCGTATATTCCAAAAAAAAATCTGTATTTATTGTAATAAAGATAATATCTCTAACAATGCCGTGCTGTTCTATTCGGTGGTGTGGGAAAAACAGCAAAACACCTAATTACAAAACAAACGGAATCAAATTTCATCGGTAATTAAATATGTAATTTTGCAATTATCGTCCATTATAACAAAGCTCAAGTCAACTGGTCGAATTGAAGTGACACAATAGACGACACCCGTCGATTGTTTCGAACTCGGGCTGGCCAATCGGAGCGCAGTTGTCACAGTAATGATATGGCTGAATAGTTTTCAAACAAATTAAATGACATTTCGTCTCTATTTCTGGTTACATACACGATGGTAATAGGTTACCATGACATACTATCAAAAAAAGATAGGGTAGTGCTTCGGTCAAGTGAGTCCTCATGTGAAATTAAAACAAGAAGTTAACACATATTTCTAGAGTCGGCAGACTAAAGCACGTATACGTCCAAAAAGTGCCACATTTTTAATAAGTAATTATATATTTTTTGTGTTGTTTATAATGTTGGAATATGTGAAGAGAATGATAAATTTGAAAAAGATTAACGCAGTAACAGTCCCATATCTTTCTACATAAGTTTTGTTTATAGTGCCTCTGCCTATCAACCTTTTTGTTGTGCGAGCGAACCCGCTTGCATTAATGAAGTAACAGTCCTCATTTATTGCTACATTAGTTTTGATTGTAGTGACCCTCCCTACCGACCCTTAGGGTGTACGAGAAGAGCACTATAACCTGTGCGCGCACAGGATCCTTAGAAGTTCAGGTTTTGACCCCAGATTCGCCAGTGTACAGGGTTGCCACAGACCTTTGTCACTCAATTTGATCCGGTTCTCGAGAGGCTAGTGCCTCGGGTGAGCCGCCCCGGGTGCACGTACAGTATAATAGTGAAGTAACAAGCTCGATATCTTTCTACGTTAGTTTTGATTACAGTGACTCTCCCTACCTACTCGGAGGGCATACGAGAAGGGCACTATGACGCGCACAGGTACTTTACAAGTTCAGGTTCTGACCCCAGAATAGCCAGTGTTATCACAGACCTCTGTCACTTGACTTCATCCGGTTCTCAAGAGGCTAGTGCCTCGGGTAAGCCGCCTCGGTACACGTACGGTACGCTCCCTATTGTACCGGAGCTGTAGGCACGCTTACTTCCCGTTGCGCATTGTACAACTAGCGGTTCCCACCGCTTAGCCGTCGACTCTGAGTCCACTACTAAATCTCCTCATTGGTGGCGGAATTATAAGGCACGCTCACTTCCCGACGCCGAAAAACGACGTCTCTCCAGTTCCCAATAACCTAAGCGGCTGGAGCGACTGGAGCTGGATCTAGCTTATCTTCTACTAGCTCTCCGGGCTAGTGCCGGAGATACCATTCGCACTATCCTGCGACAATGTCCGGACATAGCTTCCAGGCAACGTTTCACGTGCACCGCGCGTCTCCTCGCTTCAGGCCTTCAGGCCCTCAACTAGACAGCTACTAAAACGCGTTAGCTGCTTACGAGATAGACGCCCCGAACACATGCAACCGGGGCAGACAACAAGTCCGTCTCTGTAGCTAACGAAAAAACACCAGCGAGTCTATACCCAAGTCCGGGCCGCCAGCGACGCCAGAGGCGTATCACCGGCGGAGGGCTTGGCCCGGACGCCCGCTGTACCCTGGTCTTGCCGTCGAGCCTGTAGTCTCTCCGGAAAACCCTATCTCTCGGGTCGGTAGATAGGGACATTATAATAGGGATAGTGAATTAACAAATGAATTTGACTTGTATGATTTAGTTGGTAGATGTATTAATTTAAAAAGACGATATTGGTTTTTGACTTAAAGTGCTTTAGTCCGCCGACCTTAGATTTATATAAAATGAGGAGGTGAGAGCCTGGAGATTCGTGATACAGGTTTATACCTAGTAGGGTCTCCAATCTTTTACAAATGTATTTCAGTTATAATTTCTCCTTGTAAGTTAGCCCTAAGATTATTGCTTTAGTGAAAACCTTTGTAAAGAGGGAATAACGATTATTATTTTTAAGTTTTATTGAATGTCACGATGTTTTACTACGATGACATTCAATTAATTTTTTGTGAAATTACTCCATAATTTTCACAGACCACATAAATACTAGTGTAATTTTGTTATAATTATTAATAACAAAGATCGAGAAATGTAGAATTCTATCGCTAACCAAAAGCAAATATCTGCAAGAAGCACATACAAAAATTCGTAAGGTTGCTGGTTCATTCCGTGACTTAATTGGCAGCGCTTAAATATATAAAATAATTAATATAAAATAAATAGTAATGAAATTATATTTAACAATAATGAAAATTAAATTGAATATAATAATAATTAAAACGATTGTTATGTTATGAGCACTTATTGAATATCACGATGAAGAAACTTCGTAAGTTTCTCATACACACGCTTGGTCACAATCTCACCTGATGTTAAGCGACGATGTGACCGACGATGGGAAGCGTTTGCCTAAAAAATGCCTACTCACTTTAGCCTTGAATAGCCCCAAATTGTACTTTTCGGGAAATACAGATAATAGAGCATTCCATTCCTTTGCCGTACGCATCAGAAATGAGAAAGCAAAGCGCTTAGTGCGAATAGGTGAAATATCAACGACATAAGAGTAGAATGCTCCGGACCTTCTAGTATAATGATTATGATTATGATTAGTCGACCGAAGGAGGAACGGTGAGGGTGGAACTAAATTGAAAAGTTCCTGCGCACACTACCCGAAATGTATCCGATAGAAAACCGACAAGTGGGCTACTTTTCTGCGATAGTCGAGATTTTGTAACTTCAACTCCACAAGAGAATTGTTGTTAAAAGTCTCTTTGCTTTTCGCTCCACCGAGTCCAAAGTAACTACCTGGTAATGGGCAGAGCCGTCCCAAAGGTGGCAGCAGTACTCCATACACGATCGAACTTGTTTTTTATACAGATTTAAATAGAAAGTCGTTTAAACCCAATGAGTTCGTACGATCTACTGACTCGATTTGTAGATCAGTTGGTAAAAGCGGTGGCCCTAACAGACACTGGTTCAAATCCCGTCAGATCGAAGGATTTTTTCTTGGTGCTGTTCGCTCTTTGTAACATGTTGGAACTAAAGTTTCTATTTCTCGCAGGTTGTCCGCAAGAGATCTACCGGCTGATGTGTGAATGCTGGAATCCGACACCGACTGAGCGACCAGCTTTTGCCCATATGTTTGACCGACTCCAGAGGTTCTTACAGGTAACACCTCAAGTATACCACACAAGGCCCGATTTAGGTTGGAGACCCTCAGACTAACATAACCTTGGCAGTTTTATTTTTCTTAATTAATCCAGAAAGTAAAAAATCACACTTGAATAGTGCAATTTATGTATGATTTTGGTGTTTGTTCTTTAGATAATTTCATGACAGATTCAACTCGGTCCTACGTAAAGATGTGCTAGCACAATGTTTTTTTTTATAATATCAAGTGACGGGACGAACAAGTCGTGCGCCTGATGATAAGCCACGCGCCTATCCATAACAATTGCAGTGCCACTCAGAGCTTCCAATGGCAAAGATCTTAGAGGCACTGCCACTGCGCCCGTTACCCTGACACATAAGTTGACAAGTCCCATGTGCCTGTAATTTCACCACTAATCAATAGCCCCAGGAAAAAAAATAAAAATTTGACTCTATTGGCTGTGTATGCTGTGATCCTGAGTGTAGAAGATGTTGAGGGTGTCGGTAATTTGGTTCGCTCAACGAGACCTATTCCATGGTCGTGTGCACTTTATTCTTAGCAATAAGGGATAGTTTGTTTGGCCTTAAATATTTCTTTTTGAGTTTATTGCGTTATAGGCAACGACTATCGAGTATATAACCAGAAATAGAGACGAAATAAGGGCCATACATCAGTGATACATCACTTATAAATATGAACTCTCGTTTGCACTGAAATTACTAATTAGAAAGCTGAAATAGTACAGCGCCAACAACGGACCTGTCTGTACGTCTCCGTATATTCCAAAAATATTCTGTATATCTCTAACAATAGCGTGCTGTTCCAATCGGTGGTGTGGGGAAAAACAGCAAAACTAATTACAAAACAAACGGAATCAAATTTCATCGGTAATTTTGCAATTTTCCTCCATTATAGCAAAGCTCAAGTTAACTGGTCGATTTGAAGTGAAACAATTGACGACACCCGTCAATTGTTTCGAACTCGGGCTGGCCAATCGGAGCGCAGTTGTCACAGTAATGATATGGCAGAATAGTTTTCAAACAAATTAAATGACATTTCGTCTCTATTTCTGGTTATATACTCGATGGCAACGACATAATATTCGCAAATTGTAGTTTTTAAAGCCATGTTAGCCTAATCCGGACTCTCATCTCTGAGTTTCTCGGAATTCATGTGCGATATTTAATTTGTAATTTACTATGAGCTTTTCGGTGAAGGAAAACATGGTAATAAAACCTGCAGACCTGATGTCGAAGAAGGTTCATATTCCTCGGAAAACGTACGAACTACTCGCATTGGCCTGAACTGAGAGGAGACTCATGCCCAACAGTGGTTCATATAAATGCGTTATAGTTTTTGGGTTTCAATTCTTGATTTTGTAAACAGGACCCTGAAATTGTAAGCGCACCTTTACCGGTCGTACGGTCATTACTCCCTCCACCGTGTGATATGACACGGTGCGCCAACGGGCCGCAGGTAAGGACGCACCACAACTACACAACACACTTGTAGTGCCTTGGGTAAAATCTCAACGCACCCCTTACTCCAAGTTTCACTGAAATACATATTCTGAAACAAAATAACTGGTTAAAAATACTGTGTTATATTTTCCGGCAGTACTTTACAAAATAAGAACGTATAAGACGCCATTGTGACATTATGTTTTTTCATATTTAACAGTAACCACTTTAATATGATCGTTTTCAACTAAATTTATTAGTATTATTGTAATATTGTACGTTCCACGACAAATGTTAATTTTCCTACGCGGAACAAGGGATGTGTTAGATTTTTGGCACCAAACATTAGTTTGTTAAAGAGGTGTTATTTTAATATTCCGTTTGATGCAGTTAACTTGGCTATTGCTCACTACCGTGCGTCTTTATTTGCTAAGTGATGAATTTAATATATTCTCATAATGGTCGAAACAGGGATGGATCATCCTATTCCGACCATTATGAGAATACATTAAATTCTTTACATAGTTAACAAAGACGCACAGTAGTGCGAAATAGCCAAGTTAAAAAATCATGATTTTAATTTTATTTGTCACTAAATATTTTATGAATTTTAAAACAGTTTTGTATTAGAATAATACCTTTTCCATAATTTGTCCAAATCATATCCAAAATCAGACAGTACATTTATTAATAAATGAATCCTCATTATCTGAGTGTTTAGACACCCCCTACACTTAAAAATAAAAAGTGAAATTAAAAATGTAATACTAATTTGTAACTCGTTTTTTTCTCTTTTTTCCAAATGTTTTCGCTCTGGCTACTAGAAGCAAGTAACTGGACATTTTTTTTATATTAAATAATTTACTATTCGGTGTTAGATGATCCGTGGTTTTAAACAACGTGCTTGCGAGTGGCGCATGTTCATTTCCTTATTTATTTTTATTTATTTACATATTTTTTTCTAACTATACCCCTCTCCTTGAATGAAAATCGCGTAGAAAAATAGTTTACCCCTGTAGTTAGACGGAGATTCATTGGAGTGTCTAAGAAAAATAAACATGTTTTTTTTTTAATTTTTCGTCAGTTTAGGGTCATAGTGCATGGTGTTTTTACATGTTTAACAATAATTTTTAACATTAATAACTTTGATAAAAAAAATTAACATTATTTCATCGTCACTTCATGCTTTTTAAAAAGAAACATTTCAAAGAATCTCTCTTTGATACTAAAAATACTTCAATGAAACTTGAGTGTACTTGCCTAGTAGCTATAGCGAGAAACTTTAAACCTATATAATCTATTTTCTTTATTTTACCTTTTGTCCCTTCAAGCTGGGTTTTGAAAAAATAAAAAAAATAAAAAATATATTTTTACAAAGCCCAGTGGTAAATGCACGCGTAGAGTTACAGTGGAATAGATACAGGGAGATTAAAATTATTTAAAGAATAAAAGGTAAACTATTTGGAATAACCAAGGTGGATCCATGAACTTTTGGCTTATTGCTTTTGTAGCTATTGAAAACACTATGAAATGAGTAAACTCTACATTCGTTACTAGTTTCTAGTTTTCGCTTTAAACGTCAATTAAAAACGTTGACTAAATTAATTGCTATGCGCGATGCTAAAGGGGGATAAAAATATAAAACTTGACGTCGACGACAATAAATCTATAAATAGCTGAGAACTTGCCCGACGGCAACCGCTGTTGTTATTACTGCAGTTTTTAAGATATTTTTTACCTGTTTTTTGTAATTATAAAATAATGACGCAGAAGTTTTAGTCAGAAAACATCCCTTCGAATCAATCAACCAGTCAAAGTCTAAATTCAAATTTCATAATATAGTGAATACCAACATAAAAAAACAAAAGGTCATGGAACGCCAAATTTTGAAAATTAAAAAAATCCTCGATCTCCCTGTGTCTGTGTGCGTGTACTGAGCGTGGCATGTTGGCAGCGCGCGCCGGCGTGCGATGCGTACCTCGTGCCCAACTCGCCGCTGGGGACCCCGCCGCCGACTACTAGGTAACCAAACGAGGCTGGTTAGGGAGACCAAGAGTAGAAGAACCCTAGGACAGATTTATTTTAGAGACGTACAAAATAACTAGATCTGACAATTTAATATACGAAGAAGGAAGACATAACGAGTCATATTTAGGTTAGAGAATGAACGACGGGAAATGGTCAACTTTCTCTATTACCAAATGAATTATTGAATGAATGAATTCTTCTTCCTATTACATCGATGGATATAAACAGATGTAATGTAAGTGTAGTGGAAGGATTCGCCAATCGGAGTAAGGTACTCGCCAGGGTGACCCTCGCCGTCGTGCGGGGAGACTCCTTTCGTGCGCTCTAATGAATGAAAATTTGATACTTCAAAAAGAAATATGGATACCAAAAAAGCGACTGGAGATCGAAGTAGCCTTACATTGCGGCATATCTATTAGCGACAAATCCTCAGGGAAAAAATATCCTCTTTTGGAGAGGCGTTGAAATAAGTCTAATGCGATGGAACATTAATGTTAATATTTTTAATTTCAGCGAATTTTGGACATATTTGAATACGATATGTAGCAAAAATTAAGTTTATATCATTAAAATGGTAATTTTTCGATAATTATTTCTATCAATGGTATTGACTATAACGTGTTTTTTTTTAGTTCACGTAACAAATACTAAATACCATTCTAATTTAAGTCTCATAACCTACCAGCCTCTGTTTACATAATTATCGTCCTTGTTCATTAAAAAAATTAACTAATAATTTAATAAATAAATGTGGCATTCCTTACACATGTTGATGTTGTCATAGTAACAGAAGATTATCAATTTTGTCTTGTTGACATTGAATTTATCCATAATAATATTGAAATAAAAAAAATAATAAAAAAAATCAGTTTCTGGTAAAATTTGAAATTCTTTCATTTTATAGATACCTAAGCAAATAATATTTGAAATCTTTAAACTGTGTTATCATCCGGAGACACGCAAGTTATCTGATAAGAACCAGCCCTTGGAAGCATTCTTAGATCTTCGAATTTAATTCAATTATTTTAGTTTTTTTTAATTTAAATTTGTTACATTAACAATATTTTAAATGAAAATTTATACTGCTACTTAATGAAAGAAAATTTAATTAAATCAACCTGTATTTAGAGATATGCAAAATGAAATGTTGGCCAAGTTCTTTTTTAAATAAATCTGAATTGTTTTTATAATCTTTGCGCCAAGTTGTGATTTATTCACAAGTATCAATTTTATTCACTTCCTAATTGCGTAACAGAAAATTCACGCTTGTTTGATTTAAAAAAATGCAAATTGTGGATAAATTCAATTTATAAGACTGAAAGAGTAAATAACAAAGTGGAACTGCTCAAAAGACGGAGTAGTAAGCATGCTTAGAGAAGTCTTCCTTTCCAAAACAGATCTCACTCGAACACAACACTACTGTAGAAAAATACTAAAGATTTCAATTTAAATAGTTCTAATAAATTAAAAGACTAAATGCACCATAGTTATTATGCATTTCAGGTTAACAATAAATTTTGCAAAAATCATAAGCGTTAAGACTATATGCACTCGGGCGATGCAACTCGGAAAACCAATTTTTAATTAAATTTGGTCTGAGTTTTTAGAGTAACGCCCTAAAGACTTTCGTTTCGCAGAATTTCTCAAGAAGAAAAAAAAGCACTAGAAATCAAAATTATATGAAAAAACAAAAAAAATATATTTTCACTTTATTTTAAAAGGCATGGAGAACATTCAAAAACGAAGGGTAGGTATTGTAACGTGTGGAATTGTTGTAGCTCAACGGATCAGCTGGTACTTCATAGCATACCGCCGACGGTGGCACCGGACAGCGACCAGGAGGATTCACCATATCCACTTCTTCCGAAAGGTAATTTATGCTACATGGCAAATGAAAATGGCGAAGGAAATATAACTTAAATTTGATATTTTTTACAGCATCACCAGAATATGGCAACATTCCAATGGGGTCTCGGAGCAGCGTAAGACGCGGCGAAGCTTCGGTTGTTTCCGACGTGGGGACGAGAAAGTTTCTGCCGTCTAACTCCACTGACAGGTAATTCTGTAAATTCTTTAATTAACTGCAGTTTTTTAACCTCCTTGCCTATCTTATTCCAGGGGTCCACGAAGAGCTTACCGAACATAATGCATTAACATAAAGATTAGTATACATATATAAAATTTGGCGAGTAAATACTGTTCGCGTGACCTTTATGAATTTTCGCGCCTGTTATCGGCCATCTATTGGAGCGAGCGAGACGCGCTTCAAAGCAACCCGCGAGCCTGTCGTATTCTTCATCTTTTCGGAAGGGTTCATGGACTCTTCGGAATTTTGAGACGGGTCCATGACTAGAAAAAGGTTAAGAAACCCAGCTGTAGAGGTTTGATCTTATCCCACCCTCCCGTTTTCCTACTCAGAAGCACGCGCGCCAGCCTCCGTATTGACTGTTTTACAACTTGAATATTCCATCGCGAATTAAAAGGTTTCATAATATTTACTGTAGCACAATCGACATATGGAACTCCCTTCCAGCGCGTGTACTCCCTCCCTCCTATGATGGGGGTTTCTTTAAGCGAGGCGTGAACAGGCATCAAGTAGATACGCAAGGTGGAAGTGGCGCGGGCGGTGATTCTATCAACACTGCGCTAGGATACTTCACGTTTTGATTCCAATTTTTATTTAACATCAGGTGTAGTGCAATCATCTACCTGTCACGTATAAAAAAAAATATAGTAACGTCTCAATTGTGGACCTCTTTCATTATCCGATACAAACACAATACCCTTCGCTTGTTAAATATTTACTTATTAAAATTGGTGACAGTTTCACTGTAGTTTAAAAAAATGACCAGGAAATTTTGAGCCGAATGGAACCTGGCATGAATTAAAAATCAAATTTCTGTAAATCAATAGGCTGCTAGACGGTACTTCTGTGGACGATGACAACTCGGATACGCCAGATGAAGACCGACCAGTCATCTGGGAGACGTCGTTTACAGAAGTTCGTCCCAAAACCAACTCCGTCGACCCTCAGCTGTCAAATGATAATGGACCTACGGTAAGCCATTTTGATTGCAGCTCACTTAATACTGGAAACTTTCGTGTAAAGTATAATTTTTTTTATGATACCCAGTGACAGAACGAACAAGTCGTGCGCCTGGTGTTAAGCGATACGTCTGTTCATAACAGTTTCAATCGCAAAGATCTGTGAGACACTGCCACTGCGCCTATTACATTGAGTCAGAAGTTGACAAGTCCCATTTGGCTATAGTTTCACCAGCCCTTCAAAACCGAAACACAGTAATGCTAACATTACAGTTTGGCGGCAGAAATAGGTACAACAGTACTTCCCTGGACGAACTCTTTCACAAGGAGCTCTACTGCTACTATAAAACAACCTATACATGTATGTAGAAAGCGCCGTATCGCTATCAAGTTAAATTTGATAGATATTCGAAATGAACCTTTTTTTCTGATCTAAATCGACTATATTTGTTGTTTCAAATAGACCAACTATTCGAGATATTTAAATGTCTCAAGGTCACGGCTAACTACGATGATAAAATCATCAGCGAGTTACGTCTAACATTAATGCAAACCACCATATTCTGAACATAGTTACATTACAAAAGCTATTAATTTAAATACCTTATTTATAATTTCATAAAAAGAAACATTCCGGGTTAGGTTTATCCATAACATCGCAGAACGAACACTTTTTTTTATGTATGTCTCGTCTGTTCGATATCAAGAGTGACCGCACTCGCAGTCTAGCCGAATAAACTTCAGCAAAACACGTGGTTAAGACACGATAAATAGTTTAATTTAAGAACTGGACATTTTTAAATATAGTTACAGCATTTTTTTTATAATCCATTCTAACATTCCGCGACTTTTTTTTCACAGGTTGACAAGCTAATAAGTATAACACCCACATCGCCCAAACCTCCAGAGAACGCCTTGTCCAAAGCTATCGAGACAATAGAATCAAAGATAATCGACAAAACCAATCTCAAAAACTCTTTAGTACCAGAACGAAAGACGGCACCAATCGCTTCACCTGATCCACCACGAATTAACGCTTGGAACAAAGATCCACCAAAGCTGAAGCCAAAGCTTCTGCCGCTAGACCCGGCACAGCTGGAACAAAATCTAAACGCTCTGAAAAAGAACAGTGGATCAGTAAATTTAACAACAATGAACATTTTACCACCATATATAAACGTCGTTACACCGAACAAATTATCAGAGTCAAAGACTATACAGATTGATCCTAAGAAAGCAGTTATACATGATTTGCAATCGCCTAAAGAAAATGATGTAAAAGAAGAGAAAGGAAAGTTAAAACAGTCAAATTCTGCGGCAAGTTTGCTAAACGGACCTATGACAGATGTGCCGTACGCTGACAGTGACAACGCATCGTCAAGTTCTGGTAGCAACGCTCAAAATTTAATTAATAATAAAAAAAATAAAACAAACTACGCCGAAATTGTTGTAGGCGACCGTGGTAAAATTATAAAACAGGGTAGCAATGGAAAGGACTCCGAGATTAGCTGTTAAACCGTCAAGTCTAAAAGAAGTGTTTTTGGTTGTGTTAAAAACTTGAAAGTGCCACCGTTGGTAATGAACTTTTTTAATTAGAAAAAAATGTACTTATAAAATTGTAAATATTAATGTTTTAAATTTAACCTTAATTAAGCCATAGTCATTTTATGTGACAGTATTTTTGTTAAGATGTGTACAAAATGTTGTTTTTATTGTAATGGAAATAATAGTAGAAATTCATTTTTGGACAAATAAGAAGCTTCCTTGGGCTTGATAGAATTAGGTTTATTGTTGCTCAATTTGCTCAATGTTTTGCAAAAAAAGAACGTAGAAATGAAATTTACATTTTTTAAATATTCTTTAGATTTTCTACTTAGATGTTTTACGATTGTAAAGTTTTTTACATCTCGCTTCGTAGTTGTTTTTATCGTATATTTTGAGATACTAATTCTCAAAGTTGCTGGTGGTGTGTAAGTATGAAATTGTACTGTTACATTGTCGATAGAATAAAGCTCCACACAAATGATATTGGAACACCTTTCAGTTGAAGTCTGAAGTGCTTAAAAATAATTACAGAAAAAAGCTTTATAGGTTTGTCACAGACGGCGCTATGGCAAAAAACATCGACAACTTGATCGGCAACAAATAGATAAATTTGTGAGACCTGCTGATTCGCTTCGTAGCTCAGTTGGGAGAGCGGTTAGCCCCGGTCTGGCAAACAGGTGCTGGTTCGAATCCAGCCAGGATCAAAGAAATTTTTTTTTAGTGTTTATAATAACGCCAAACTAGTGGAATTTCACTAAAAATATGAATCAATAAAAGTTTTATATTCAATTAAATAAATGTAATAATTTCAGACTTCAAAATATTTTGAGTGATGAAACAAACGGTACTTTGAACTTACCATTTCGATTTTTTTAAACTTGGCCAATTATTCACATTACAATTTTCTTATGGCCTTTTCATATTTTTACACCATCAACAAATTGTAATATCATTTTCGATCCTACCAATGAACATATTGAAAACAAGCGCACATTTGCAGTTATGTAAAAGATAAAAAAACAGTATTATAGCTTTATTACCAAAAAAAACTATCTTCAAATTATAATAATTAAGAGCAATGAAACGAATTAATCTCTTTAATTTAAAAAAAAATAAAGATTCTTTTTATTGGTTGAGAATCTGATTTTATTGGGGATTTTTTCTTGTATTCAGCAAGGCAGTCCCACACTTATCGATGTTGAAATTCCCTTGAGTCGAAAAATCTTTCCATGCAGTAAAAATGAAAAAAGAAGACGTTGTCGACAACTTTGACACCAGTGCCTGAGATATATGTATGTGGATCTTAGAGGGTGGAAATGTGGATTTATCAAGTACAGTATATACAGTGAAAATAAATTAAAATATTGTATTAAAAGACAGAAGAGGGATGAAGTACTTGACCATAAGATTTCATTATGAATGTGGTTTGTACCATTTGCTTTCAACACAATAACGTCGTGTGAAGCTACCACGAGTAGAAGCAGACTAGTTGTTAATGCTATTTCTCTGAAACGTAGCATAAATTGAACTGAACATGGAAGCTATTCTAAAATACTGCTCGGGAAGTCTTAAGTATTGAAAAATAAAATACGGATCTTGGACGTGACTATTTTGATCCTAACGCCATTTACCAACAGCGTGGGGTTACTAAAATGATTATAATTAATTGTTGTGGAATTTCATAGTACTTTGTGTCACAAATTTTGTATCTTTTATAAACGACGGATTCTCAACTAACAAAAATACGTTATCGATAACTTCTAAAAAGAACTCCTAGATAATTTAATTAATTAGTAAAAAATCGTAGTAGTGCTTAAAAATGTATGTAAATATTATTTAAAAAAATGTAGTGATTTGTGTAAATCCGCCCTGAGAAACATATTTGATTATTAATTGATGTAATTAAATAAAATATGGTGTTTATTTTTTAATTTGAGGTGCGTCCAGATGATTTCACTCCTAGTATTAACAAATTTTACATACAACGCAACAATAAACATTTTGGTCCTCCATCTCATACAAAGCAAGTAATTAATTTGTATGACTTTGGAGAATTAAACCAATTGTTGCTTTATATGAAAGCGCAATGTGTAAGAGTTGTGCAAATAACTCGATTCCATGAGTACGATCATACTGGAACGTACCTCGGGCTTAAAAAATATCACCCTGTATAGTACCGATTCTGTTGATTAAATCTAAAATTAAACTAATTTTATTATTGTTAAAACAGTGTTACTGTTTTTTATCCACTTCAAGGCAGACTTAAAATTTCAATTGTAATAAATTCCACGGAGACAAATGTAATTTTTGTATTTTATCCACCCAATTTCGGCAATTTTTTATGATAAACGTACAAAGTGTGGTCAATTGATAAAAAATAAAGGATACTCACGATTTTCTTAAGTAATAAATTTAGTTTAGAATTAGATTTGTATAAACAGAATCGTTGTATAAGTTATGTTAAATGTAGAATTAGCTTAATGGGATCATCGCATCTTGTACTCCTGTTGATTTTGCGGGTAGCAACATGTTTTGAGTAGAAATAATTATACATTTCTTTATAATAAATTAATAAACACGGCACCCTTATTGCTAGAAAACCGCCACGTTACGGTGAACACTTATTATCCACGCCGTTAACGCCGCAAATAATTTCTTCTTAAAACTGTTCTTTGTACGATATTGCATACCGTAACTTAAGAGAGTAGGTAACATATCGGGGCTGAGTATATGTTTTTAATCTATGGGGCCTTGGAATATTCAAAGATAACCAAGGCCCTCGCGAGTCAGAGATCCCGCGAAGACTTCATTGGCATGTGAAGAATGTGTAATCATTATACGACTCATCCGTAGAACAAAGGCCTATGTGCAAGACTGCTTGTTCTCAGCAAATAGTACATTTCGTTCGTTCTTCGCTGTGGCTGTCAGATCGACCGTTGTTTGATTTTATATTTCCGAAACGAAATAAGATATATAAATTCTCAAAACACCTTTACATATGCTTTGGTTTGAATAATGAAATTATTCTCGTAACTTACTTATTCTCTTTTCGCTATATAATCACATCGGACTTTGTTCTTCGGATTAGTTGAATTTTACTCGACAGTCTTATACGCAATTTAAGTGTCAGTAAACAAGTGAGTATATAGTCTGATTTCGTATATATACATTATGTGTCAAATACTAACAACCTCGCATTACTATATTACTAACATTCAACAACTTTTATTACATTATTTTAATAATTCAACACATTTTACTTTCATACAAAAATAAAATTATTTAAATAGATCATAGTTTCCTAAAAAGGTCCCTACCTCCCCCTAGTGGGCGCTGAAGAGTCCTAGGTGGTTCCACCTAAGACTTCACTTCACTACGACACCTAGGTAGGGGTCCTCGGAACCAATTGGGGGCGTTGATGCTGTCCACAGGGTGCTACCGCATTTGAAAAAAAACCTGAAATATCTATATAAACTAATTCTATATAGATAATTCAGGTTTTTTTTTTTCAATATATGTATATAATATAGCATAAATTAGCTATGGAGCGCAGCATCTTGCGAGTCAAATTCTCAAACCGAATTAGGAACAGTGATCTGCGCTCCAAAACACAAATCGCAGATGTGGGTCAAAAACGGGTAAACTAAAGTGGGACTGGGCGAGACACGTTTGCCGCATGTCATGTCGGCCACCACACAATGGATCCCCAAAGATAGAAAATGACCATGCAGCATGCCAAAGCATCGATGGCGAGATGAGTTGGAAACGCAATTATATTCCTTGTGATTTTTTGTATTCAGTTAATATTAAAAATACGTGTTTTCAATTCGTTTTTCTGGTGGTGAGCGGTGACATTTTTTTATCTTGCCTAAGTGGGCGGTGAGCCCAAAAAATTTGGGAACCGACGCTCTAAATGGTGATAACTTTGTGCAAAAAATAGAAGCGCGGGTGTGAGTCGTCAGTAAGATCGCTTGCACGGTTGGAACTTCCTATCTTAATACCAGATACAGATTTAACAAAAACTTAAAAGTTTGTATTTGGTAAATTTGTAATGTAAAGTAAACGGTCGGTTATGGAACAAAAGTTATTGTTCATGATGTTAGTAATAAACCATTCGAGGTTTTTAGTGTTTTAGAAATAACCCTGTGTCACATATAATTATCATTGGAATACACTATTGTTTACGGCACAAGCCTAAATTCTATTATGTTAACTTTAACAACTTCAATAAAAAATTATGCTAACTATACGCCAGACTGTTGAGTTTTCTTAAAATACTTGAAATTTAATAATTTGACGTTTACACAGTTATTTCATTTGACCTGTTTTCCGTGTTGTGTTCACATCCAGTAGGATACATTTTTATCGTGTCACTATATAAATGAATTACTTTTAGTTTATATCTGAATTGTATCCAGTTTTGTTAACCGAATTTAAAAAAAATCCTAATCTATAGAGTTTACGGCGCTTACGTTGCGGGCTAATGTGTGTTTACCATTAAGATTGTATATTAACCACTAGATATTTATATACACTAGACATTTATGAAAAAAATAGTTTTATTATATTATATATGTATTAATTGAACAAACATTGTGTGTTAATCACATATGTGGATGCTTTAATTAAAATCTAAGATAGACTAAGTGAAATATGGGTTATATATACGTATATATATATATGTTATGTTGAATCAGAGTAGTGCCAAATGTTTTTCTTCAACTGCCTGTTTATAAAAATGCATTTATTTATTCTTTTGTTGGAGGCATGAAATGACAGGGTATCATGGTGAATTTTATTTGAAAAAAGAATTGTTATGGGGTGTTTTCTAATATTGCGAAAATATAAAATAAAACAATGTTAAACATCTAATGGAAAATACCCCAAAATATTTAAATAATTTCAAAAAAATTTATGCAAGTAAGTTGCAACGTAAACGAAAGGAACCTACATTTAAAAATTTAGCTAAT